AATCAAGAAGGTCTCTTACTAGCTAAGAACCAAGAGTTCTGTCATCTAAAAAATGAAGAGGTTAGACTACAGGACCTGGAGTTCAAGTCACCAAACATTTGTTAAGCACCTACCCTGAACCAGGGACAATGCTAGACACTTCAGACAGGAAGCCAAAAACTGAAATGGTTCCTACCCTCTATGAGCTTACATCCTACAACAAGGCCCCTTCCAGATCAAAACCTATGACTCTGGGATACCAAGGCCTCCATCATAATAAGCAACTCACATTTCAAAATGTCAGCCACTGCCCATTGTCTCCAGCCATCCAGGGAGCCTGTTTTCTCCTGTGCTTTCTGGGGCTTCCCACTTCTCCATGAGTTGGCCATGCTATCAGAGCTCTTTCTAGTTGTCTCACATATTTTTGGGTAAATGAACCTTTGCCTCCACCACCCCTCCTTAATCAGTGCAATTTTGGAGAACTCAGTGGAGAAGGTTAGACTTGATTTTGCCATGGTGGCTTATAGCAGGGTGCTTCTTATCTCCACCCACTATTTTATTTCAACCATCCCTATTCATTGGCCGCCACTCAAAATACAAGAAGCTGCCATCTAAGGTATCTATGGAGATCTGGAAGGATATGCAGTCAATCACATCACTCAGCTGAGAGCCTTCTAACACATCATGCACATATGGACCTTAACACATTGGACTCAACATCAAATCATCTGGTCCAGGGATTTTCACTTTTTGTGTCATAGACTCCTCAGGAATCATGTTTTTAAATGCATCAATGGGTAGATAAATAGAGTATCTATTAAGCACTTATTACATACCAAGCACTCTGTTGGTACATCTAATAAATAAAATACGTAGGATTATCAAAGAAACTGACCATATTGAAATGCAGTTATCTAAATATTTTCAAGAACAAGTTCATGGACCACCTATTAAAAGTCCATGACCTGGTCCAATCCTTTCACTTCCCTAAAGAGGAAGTTCCTTGCCCAAGTTTGTCCTGCGACTTAGAGCTCCTGGGCTGGCAGCTTGGCCAGGTCCAGATCAGTGCCTCTGTGTAAGTGCCACAGGTTGAGTTTCAGTTCTGGGGCCTGGTGCTCTATTACAACCCCCTTATCAGCCTAATTGCCTTAAAAGGCCCTTTTGCTTCTCGCCTCTCTGGGCAGCTCCATTTGGCATCGGCTGGCTGTGTTTGTGCATTGATGCAGAAGCTTCCCCAATTCAGCATCAAAGTGGGTAACCTTGACAGTTAAACAGAAAGGCTGTATATGCTCTCCTGTAACTGCTATGGCAGATGGAGGGAGGGGGAGGCCTGGGGCCCTCAGAGGCTCTAGTGTACAACCTGGCATTGGATTGAAATCCATCTTGTGCAATTCTGGCCATTTTGTGCTGTATAGTTAGCCTCTCCAACCAGATTCAATTTAACCCAATCCAAGAAATGGTTATGAAACTCCTACTATGTGTTCTTAGACACTGTTAGGAGCTGGGGATAAAAAAGGCAAATGTGAAACAGTCCCTGCCCTCAAGGAGCTTATGTTCTATTCAAATGAGATAATATTTGTAAAGGGCTTAACACTGTTCCTGGAACATAGTCGGTATGTAACAAATGTTTGTTCCTTTCTTCTGTATTAGACTGTAAGTGCTCTGAGGACAGGAATTACGCTTCTGACTCTTTTTGTATCAGGCACCATGCCTAGCACAGTGTGTGCTACCTTGGTTAGATGTGTAATGTCCAAGACAGGATGGAGACAGGGAAATCCAGTGAAAATAAACATGAGGAGTGCCTGGAAAAGTGATTCCTCTCAGATGCCGGGGGCATACCAGTGCCACATCCCCACAGGCTGGGCACCACCAATAGGCTCCCTACCACTCCTGTGGCATTATGCTTAGGCTTGTTCACAAAGAGACCCTCACTTTAGCCATCACTCCCTTTATGCTGCTCGGCTCTCTTTGAGGGACCTTGAGCTAGAGAAGGAAAAGGGAAATACTTGTCTTTTCTCCCCCTTCCCCATATGGAACTTTGTGGTGGATGCAGTGGAAATGACCAGTCCCAAGTCACACAGCCAACTTGACTTTCCCCAATTTGAAACCATCCTCACTATGGGATACCACCTAACATGACATCTAGGTCCCAGCCTGCCCTCAGAGATCTGCTGAGCAGACACCACCAGGCTCATTGAGTCAGAAGCCAGAAACAGGGTAAGGAAATGATCCAAATTCAATTCTTTGCCTTAACTGGACTATGGGGTGTCGGCCCAAGGCACATTCCCAGTCTGGCTCTAATGAAATGATAGCCACCAGGTTCTATGTTCCCTAGTGCCTCAAGCCAAGCTAGACTCAGCTGGGCTAATCATTTTCACTTGCTTCATTGGCCTGGCCATTGTAAGATGAAGAATGTGGCTGTCTTCACTCTGCCACAGGCTGGAGGCCAAAGCCACTGAGATCAAGACCCTCCTTGACAGGAACATAGCTATTTTGGTGCACACTCCTGCTTGCCAGGCGTTAGAACATTGGTTCTCAGAGGGTGCAAAAGGGCCCCTTCCCAGTAGTCTGGGGACTGGTCTCTTGGACTGTCAACTGAGACTAATTAATATTTATACAGTGCCTAGCACAGGACCGGGCATATAATATGCATTCAATAAATACATATTGATTGGTTAATTGACTATATTGGTGCTTCACTTTCTTGTGGGAATGAATAATTTACTTCTGATATCCTTCACTGGTGTCTTCATCCAAAAGCTCTGCTGTTCTTCCCATTTGTACTGGAGCCTCTCCTGTCCCCTCCCCCCTCCCAGCAGCACCACTCGCTCCCCAGTTGTTAATGCTCTCCCTTGCCCTCAAAGCTATGCAGTCTTCATCGTGTATATATTTTGCATGTACTTATTTGGGTCTCCTCTGTAGCCCACCAGGAGAATGGAAGCATTTCAAGGGAAGAAACTGTTTGCTTTGGGTCTTTTTATCCATAGATCCAAGCAAGCACAATGCCCAGCACACAATACGTGCTTAATCAATGTCTGTTGGATTGAAATGAACTGAAATAAAACCTCCCAGTTGTTGGTCCTTCTTCTTGACTCAAATTACCATTTCATTTCCTTATCTGTTAAAATATTGTACACACACACACACACACACACACACACACACACACTCATGCACACACTAAGATGGGATCTCCTTGAGGGCAGAGAGTTTTGTTTTTGTCTTTCTATATCCATCACATAACACAGTACAAGGCACAATAGGATCATGAATCTACAACTGGAAGGCAACTTAAAGGTCACCTAGTCCAACCCTACTTCAGCTGGTACTGAATTGAATTGAATTGAATAACCCTAATCATTAGTGTTCTTTCCATCTCCAAATTATGCTGCATGTCTTATCTATTTTTAACAGTATGTCCACACAGTATAACATAAGCTCCTATTCCATTTGTTTTTTTTATTTTTGTTTCATTTCCTTTTTCATTTCATTCACTATTTCATTTTTTTGTAGCCCCCCCCCCCATAACTAGCATAGTGCTTGGCACACAGTAGAGGTTTAATAAATGTTTGCTGAATGAATGGATGGATAAGTGAGGTGGGAATCTTTTTCAGGGTCAAGTAGGCATGAGTAGATATACCAAAAAATCTTTGGCTTTACCAAATTGGTCTATGGAATGGAAAAGCAGGACAACCATTGCATAAGGGAGCCATTTAGCACCCTTTCTGCCCTGCCCAAATGAGCTTGGAAAGCCATGCCAAATGAGGCCCTGCTCTAACAGAAACAGCACTCATTGGACTGGGAGGCAGAAGATTTTGGGTCTAGCTCTGATACTACCAGCCACTACCTTGATGTGTAGTCCTTGGGAAATGTCCATCCCTGCTCCAGGTCTCATTTTTTGAATCTATAAAATAAGGGGGTTGGACTAAATTATTTCCCAAATCCCTTTCAGCTGGGATATTCTATGACTTAAGTGACTGGAGACAGAAGTACAACTCAGTGACAAAAACAAAATCAGATACAGCATTGTAAGCATCACCTACCCTTCTCTCCCCCCACCCACACACATATAGACACCCATCCACACCTATACCCATCTTTCACCCTCCAGCATTGCAATAGCCATAAGCTACCTTCCTAGTATTTCAAGAAAATGCTTCCATTGGAAAACACTATTAGCAACCTTCGATTATTCAAGGTAATGGCAGATGCAGATAGCTAATATCCACAGTTAATCCAAACCCCATCATGGTAAATGACAATTTTACCTCGCCACAGTAATGGCAGACCCGAATAACTGATATCCAGTTAATCCAAAAAAATCACATGGTAAATGACAGTTTCAACCTCCTCTTTTATCAACAGCAACCAGAGCTACTACCAAATGGCAAAGGAATTTTGCTTCCTGCCCCTCTCCCTTGAACCACCCTCTAAGGAAGATGCCAGTTGGAGGAAATATGGCAAATCCCATGCTGTAATCATTTCCAAACTGGAACCACAGCCCCAGCATAATAGAGGGTAGAGTCCGAATTCCACTACAACTTGACTTCTCCTGGATCATTTTCCACCAGCCTGCCAGAGCCCCTGCTAGAATGGTGGGCTCTCCTGAAGCAAGTGAGGCCAATAAGGCAGAATATCTTGTGGCTCAGGCCTCTTCCTCCTTACCTCAATTTTTAATGGAAAAAAATGTAGGGCCCATCACTGGGCCAATGCCCCGCAGAGCTTTGGAAGAAGCCCTATCCTAGTTGCTGCTCCTTGGGTGTTGCCAGCAAATGAAACTTCTGTCTCTTTTACTCCATTTCCCCTTAAAAGGACCTTGTCATTGTCAGGTGAAACATGGAGGCCAGGGCAGAAATGCCCTGGCACCTTGCCACAGGAGGGCAGCACCCAGGAAGGGCCATCTTGGCTCTTGAGCCCCAAAGAGGCTACCTTGAAAAGCCCCACTTACCCAGGCTGGTGGAGGGACAGCTAGCAAACAAAGGGGCTCAGTCCAGGCAGCCCAGAAGGCTCCCCACACTCACCTCTGGCAGGGGCATCCCATTGATGATCAGGTCAGGCTGCTGGGCACTCTGCACAGCAAAGGTGTGGTGGTAGATGTTGGTAGAGCCTGCATTGCGACCACCCTGGTTCTCCACATTCAGGAAGGTGCTCTCAGAGCGGCGGCAGCCTAGGGGCAGGGTCTGCTGATGGTAGTCGAAGTAATTGAGTGACGAGGTCAAGGAGGAGCAGCTGACCACATTCATCTTGTCATTCTCCTCCACATCCCGGGGCACCAGCCGGATGTCATTCTTGTTGATTTTCTTCTTCTTGCTCGATTTCTTCTGGTGCCCATAGGAGTACTCAGCAATCCTGTGTGACAGAAAAGGCAAAGTGAGCCTCTTGTGCTACCTGGCAATATGCCCTGAGTGATAAAGAGCAGCCACCCAAAGGGCTTTGCTCCTCCGACAACTCAATTTCTTCTTTGCACCCATTATGTTGAGTTGTTTCCTCCTGGTGCTTCTGGCATGTGAAAATCAGCCAGGGACCACAAAGTTTGCAGGCCAAATTTAGTGCCCCGCCCCCATTCTTCCAGTTGGAATTTGCTAGTTATAATTTGGCAGGGGGAAAGGGAGCCCACTGGAAAGATACAACACAATGCTCAGATGCTCAAATCGTGAGCTGCCACCGGGCCTGAGAGAACCTGTGGAAGGACAGATATGGGGATGAAGGAAAGGGAAAATGAACCCAGTAATTAATAATCCCCCCCATCGGGGCATTAGACATTTCACTTCCTCTGTCATTGACCACTGGCCTGCCTGATCAGCCAAGCATGTCCGGAGTGCCCCTTGGTGACAGCAATGGGTGCCAGGCCACTGTCTCATCCCCCTCCCAACCTCCCCCCACCCCCGTGTCTGCCAGCCCACGGTGGCTTGAATGGGGAGCAGTGTCTTTTGTACCTGGTCCCGGTAGGCTCCGTTTCTCCCCTGCTTTTGTGCCTTCCTCCCTGTTCCCAGGAGAAACAGAGCCGCAGACCCTCCACTTGCCGTTTGGGCCTTTTTATGAAATGGCAGAAGAGGCGAGGGATGGCTAGACAGCTGCTGCAAGAGAATGTCAAGGTTAGTGCATTCAGCAGCAGGCTTCTCACTGAGGCAGACCTACAGACAGCGGGACTGAAAACGGAACAGAGAGAACTCAATTCGATTCAATTCACACAGACCCAGACAGACAGAGACACGAGCACAGAACAAAACAGCGGCTATTGGGCTGCTTAGCCAAGGAGAGATATTCAAATGGGGCCAGATTCTCCAAATCGTTTATTACTTTATACAGCACAGGACTTCTCATTGTTTTGAAATGCAATCTCTGTACAGTAGTAAGGAAAAGAGCAGGGCCGATAAATAATACAGGTTTTCTCTTCCAAGGAAAAAGAAGGTGACAGCAGTCTTGCTCTCCAAATGGAATTGTCTGCCTACAAAAAGGAAGGGCAATTCACACAGCTATTGCATAACATCTCCCAAGTCTCATCTATGAATTGGGGGGGGCCCTGCCAGAGGACATGGGGAGAACCCTAAGGCTGCCCAGAAAAGGAAAGCCCGGCCCCTGGAGCCCAGCTCGCTGAGGAACCCAAGCAGTAGACTGTAGGAGAGGGAAAGAACGGCCGCTGAGAGGCTATTACCACCTGGGCATGGCCCACACCTCGAGCTGAGAAGCTTCCAGCATCCTCAAGTCTCTCCAGGGCCTGGGCAGACAGGCAGTGAGAGCACACTGATGCTATAGGGCTAGGACTGGTTGGGGGTGGGGTGGGGGGCACCCCAGTATCTCGGCTGTTAAAAACGCAGATAGATATAGATATAGCAGCATCCTTGCCCGGAATCACTGGGCAGCTGCACTTGTTTTGCTCACCTAGGCTGGGCAGCCTGGCAAAGGGGCATTCACAGTACCCAGCAAAGGCATCCTGGGCACTGCCCTTTATTTATCAGCCATGGCACTGAATTGTACTTCGTTAATCCCCAGCCATCCGGAGTCGCAGAGTACTCGTCTGGAGGGGGAAGGGGGAGAATAGCCCAGACGGGTGTTTGCCTGGGGCAGCCAGCTTGGCCCCTGACTCAACAAGGGCTCTCTTCTATGTGACCGAGCTCGCTTTCTCTGGCAGCCAGGGGCTTCTCTTCTCGGCAGGGTGCAGAGCTCGCCGGGATCTCTCGAGTTCAGGCTCTAGATCTTTTTCATCTAGCAAAGGGCTTAGACACTCCCTCACTTTGTGCTGGGTGGGCAGGGCCCTGGGGTCCCATCACCTGCCCCTGCCGGGGGCCAAATACAACTTGGAAGAAGCCCTATCCTTTCGGGGGCAGTTGCAGCCGCAGCCGCAGCCGCAGCCACAGCCGCAGCCGCAGCAGCTAGGTTCTCCCTAGATCTCCCCACCCCACAGGGCAGAAGCAGAGTCGGGGCCACTTCCCTCCTAACAGGATTAGCCCCAGTTCAGAGGCGATGCCGCAGCTGCTCCTTTATGGGCCCTCATTGATATTCATAGAGGTACGCCTCTGTCGGGCTAACTCGGGCTGCTCGGCTTCTAAGCACCGATTCGGACCCAAGCCGTCCCGTTGCCCCTCTGCCGCCGCTGCCTCGGACCCAGGCCAGGACGGCTTCGAATTGCTTGGGGGCATACGTCAAGCACAGATGGTCAAACTGAGATCCAGGAGAAATGCTTGTGTGGCAAAGCGCGCGCACACACACACCTGCGGGGTCCGGGCGGGCCGGGGAGGAGGGGGATGGGGAGGACACAGGAACCCGGCAGTCGTTCGCATCAAACTCCAAAAACCTCTTTTTTTTTTTTAACCATTTGATTTGGTGGTGCTGTAAAAAATAATAAACACCGTCTGGATTTGAAGAATCCGCATAAGAGAATCTGGATTTATCCTCTAATTAATCTATGGATCATGAAATCTTGTTTCTTCTACGATTTCTGTGTTTCCACCTTTCTCTTTGCCGGTTCGCATTCCCACCCCCACCCCCACCTGCGCCACGTACACACCCCTCAGAAGCCTGGGAGACACAAGTATCCATTGTGGCATTCTTTGGTGGGGGCCCCTTGCTAATAATGCCTCTACCTTGCAAAGCGCCACCAATTCGCCCAGGAGGGGAATTGGGCCCCCGCCCACCAGCTCGCTATTGTTGTAATAATAATAATAAATAACAATAACAATAACCGCCTAGATACAAAAGGGAAAGTGCTATCAGTTGCTTTGGCATCCAGATCTTTGGAAACATCCAGATGACTGAGAAAACTGTTTCCTTTGCATCCAGCTTTTCGCTTCGGTGGAGCACAGACTCCAGGCTCTCTAATAGCCCCGCTCCTTCCCTCCTCCCCCTCTCTCCCCTCCCCCATTCCAGCTCAAACTCCCAGCCCTGCTTCTCCCTCCCGGGCACATCCCCTGCACCGGGACTGGGCAGCTGGCAGACCTGGCCCAAAGCTAGGCTCCGTCGCTGGTTACTAGGCTGCTGGGGCTCTGTACATTTTAATTTTTTTTGTTGTTGTTGTTGAAAGGAAACTATTCCTTCTCTTTCTCTATTTTTTTTTCTGCCATAACTTCGTGGAGACAGCTGTGCAAATTTTTGAAAGATAATTGCTTCTCTGCTTATCATCATTATGACAGAATGCAAACAGTAAACGACTGTCTTACAGCAAAGTGTCAGAGCCAGAGAACTGATCCCCTCGGGCTGGGACAAACCTTTTACTGCCTTCAGGGAAAAAAAAAAGCATTTAAGTAAACTTTATGCATTTGTAGACTCTTTTTTTTTCCGTAAAGCAGTTTGTCTAAACACAGAGACGTACAAACATCATCACCATCACCAAAACTGCACAACAAAGGGGGGGAGGGAGGCTCAGGTGCCGTTACCTGCAGTTGTAGGTCCTGATCTCCTTGTTGTCCCGCTTACATTTCACTGCCACGAAGATCATGGTGACGAAGAGGATGGCAGCGATAGATCCCAGGGCAATGATGAAAATCAGGGACAGATTAACAGAGCCTGCGGACTCTTGGGCATCGAGGGCCGGGGACAGATAGATTAAGACCAAGGCAGAGGCTGAGAGGGAGGTCTTGCCGTGGTCATGGGCGACCACGATAAGCTCGTAAGTGGTCTTGGAGCTGTCCCCGAAGGTGCGGGTGGTGCGGATTTCGCCGTTGGCTTGGTCGATCACGAAGAAGCCCCGGTCGCCCTCGGTCATGTCATAGGTGACCCTTCCATTCTCTCCCTCATCGTAGTCATCAGCCTTGACCACTGTCACTAGGTAGCCCACACCGGCGTTTCGGGGGATGTAGACTTCGGCGGTGCCGTTGACCAGGGGCGGCGCGGTGATGACCGGGGTATTGTCATTCACGTCGAGGACTATGACCCGGACGGTGGCATTGCTCTGCAGGGAAGGATTGCCCCCGTCCTTGGCCAACACCTTGAACTCGAAAGCCTTAGTCTGTTCGTGGTTGAAGGAGCGCAGGGCATAGATGTCCCCCGAGTTGGGGTTGATGGACACGTAGGTAAAGACAGGCATGTCTCGCACCTGCGAGGGCACGATCTGGTAGGAGACACTGCCGTTGAGGCCCAGGTCCGGGTCCCTGGCCGAGACCGAGAGCAGATAGGCCCCAGGGGTGTTATTCTCCTGCACTATGACTTGGTAGTAGGCCTTGGAGAAGTGCGGATGATTGTCGTTTTCGTCAGTGATCTTGACAGTGAAGGACTTGGTACTCTGCAGAGAGGGCACGCCGCCGTCGCGGGCCTGTATAGTGAGGTTGTACTGGTCCCGCTGCTCGCGGTCCAGGCGCCCGTCCACCAGGATGGTGGAGAAGCTCTCGTACTCCTGGAGGCGGAAGGGCACGTTGCCCAACAAGCGGCACTGCACACGACCGTTGACCCCCGAGTCTCGGTCGGACACCCGCACCAGCGCAATGACGTATCCCGGTGGGGCACTCTCACTCACCTCCACCAGCTCACTATTGACCGACAGCAGGTTGATGACCGGCGCGTTGTCATTGACGTCCAGCACGCTCACGGTGACCTTGCAGTGGGCCGGGATGGAATTGGGTCCCAAGTCCTTGGCCTGCACGTCCAGCTCGTACACGCGGCCCTGCTCGTAGTCGATGGCGCCGCTCACCGAGATCAGACCGCTGTGCGGGTCGATCTGGAAGAGGCCGCGAGCCTTCTCGTTGACAAAGCCGTAGAACGAGTAAACCACCTCGCCGTTGGTGCCCTCGTCAGGGTCAGAGGCGTTGAGGTGGATGACGGGTGTGTTAAGGGGCGCGTTCTCGGGGACACTCACCAAGTAGGTGGGCTCCGGGAACACCGGGTTGTTGTCGTTGGAGTCGATCACCTTGATGCTGAGCCCCACGGTGCCCATGCGCGGCGGGTCGCCACCGTCCAGGGCTGTGATGCGGTAGTTATAGTGGGCTTGGGTCTCACGGTCCAAGTTTTTCTCCACCACTAGCTCGGCGAAGCGGGAGCCGTCGCCGCGGGTCTTCACCTCCAGGCCAAAGAGGTCATTGGGCGTGATCTCGTAAGTTTGCACACCGAAGCTGCCCGAGTCCGGGTCGTAGGCGCCGTCCAGCGGGATGCGCGTGCCGGGGCTCGCGGTCTCGGAGATCTCCAGCTCTATCTGGGAGCTGGGGAAACTGGGCGTGTTGTCGTTCAGGTCCTTTATCTCCACCTTGACCACGCAGATCTCCATGGAGCTGGACATCACCTCCAGGGAGATCACGCATTTGGGGCTCTGGTGGCACAGCAGGTCCCGGTCGATTTTCTGTTTGGTGACCAACAACCCGGAGTTGGGGTTGATGTCCACCAAGTGGGGGGCCGAGTTGGAGACCACCCGGAAGGCGGGCTGCCGAGCGTCCAGCAGAAAGCCGGCTTCTCGGGCATCTTTGGCGACATTTGCAATCACTGTCCCCGCTCTCTGCTCCTCCTCTACTGAGTATTTTAAATTGATCAAGGATGCCGCCTGGGTCCACAGCAAAGCTTCGAGGAGGAGCATGGGGAAAAAAGAATCCATTTTTCTTGGCTCCGTGACTTCTCCTTTTCACGGGCTCCCTTTCACTTGGCTGGTTGGTCTGCCTGTTGATTTTTATTTTTGTTTCTATTTTGTTTGTCCTCTCTTTTTTTTTGGTGGTGGTGGGGGGAAAGCGAGGAGAAGAAGCCAAGAAGATTAGGTCCCACTGAGCAGGACCAAAAAGAATCAGGAGGCGAACCAAACGCCTGGGATGTGGAAAGGCTGGGAAAGACAGGGAGAGGAGACAGAAATAGTGCGAGAGCTAGCGCGCTGGCTCAGCTCTTCTCCTCGATCCCGACTGCCCAGCCAGTCAATTGCACCCCCGTTTCAGTTTTCTGCCGCTTTAAAGTTAGAGGCGATCAACAGCCCCCCAAATCGGAAGCGAGGAGAGGAAGGTTGGAGGCACAGGGGAGCACAGAGGTTTCTTCTGGCTGGTCCAAGGAACAGCCGAGGCAAAAACAGAAGTTACCGAAACAAATGAGAAGCTAAAACACAATCAAGAATACAAGCACAGAGCCCCGCGCGCACACACAGTCACTGTATAAGAGAATTAGATGTCTTTGCACCTGGCATGCGCAAATATCTTCGCCCCCTCCCCAAAAATGCACAAATCTTACTGCAGAAAACAGGCACACTTTAAACGCGTCCTTATGGCTTGGTCAGTCTGGATGCTGGTTTTGTTTTTAAGATAGATAAATAGATATATTTTGGTTAATGTCTGGAGAAGGGGAGGGGAGGAAAGCCGCGTCTGTGGCTGAGGTTGGCGGAAAGTCCTGCAGACGCTGGAGCTTCTCAGCTGCTCCTGGGTCCAGGGGCTCAGGTCAGCGGGCAGGGGAGAGGATGCGGAAGCGGCTGCTCTCGTTTGCAAAGGGATTTTTCCTACGCCCGTCGGTCCGTTTCCACCGACAGGAGGGCCGCCTGCAGGGAATCGCCCCCAACGAGTCAAAGGGCAGCGGGCTGCTGCGATCAGGCAATCAGAGTTACCACCGCCGCCCCCCGGCGCACACTCCCCCCACCACCTCAAGTTTTTGAGCCAACTGCCAGGGGATTTGCCCGAGGAAACAAAAGTCTCAGTTCTTTCAAATAGCTGGGGTGGGGGTAAGATGAGTAGGGGGATCGGAGAGGGAGGATGGAGAAGTCACAATGATATGGATTGGCACAGAATGTCTAAGATACCGCAGGTGTGGGCTCGCCTTCTACCTCAGGCTCCGGCGCGGTGGGTGCGAAATCGGCGCAGCTGCTGCTGGATCAAATCCCCCAGAGCTCACATCCTCCTCTCGCAGGCATCCGGTTCTACGCACGGCTGCCCCGACTAGGCTACCGCGGCTCGCTCCCTCCCTCGCTCGCTCTCGCAGCCAAAGTTTACTTCCAGGCCCGGGTTCCTTTCGTTCGTCTCTCTGCGGCTCTCGGAAAGGGCGCTTCCCCGCGCTCTCTAGATATCTGTGTGTGTGTGTGTGTGTGTGTGTGTGTGTGTGTGTGTGTGTGTGTGCGTGTGTGTGTGTGTGTGTGCGCGCGCGCGCGCGCGTGTGTGTCTGCGTATGTGTGAGGGAGCTGAAGATGCTGCTGGTACCCGGCGGTGAGATCTTTAAGTTCTCACAAAATCTCAGGCAGCCAGAATCCCTAGGACTAGCAGTTGGGGACCGTCTGCGGGTGCGTTTAAAAATCCCACCCCGGCACTGCCATGCATTTGCGCGTACGAGCTGTACTGCTGAAGGTTCTCCCCTCTCTCCCTCTCCCTCTCTCTCTCTTTCTCTCTGTCTCTACCACCTCGCCGATGCCGCCGCCGCCACTGCTGCCGCTGCCGCCGTCGCCTCCTCCTCCTCTGCTGCTCCTCCTCTCGTTGCCGCAAACTACTGGCCAAGGAATCTGGAGAGAGGGCTTGCTCTAGCCCGAGCTACGCCAGGCTGCAGCCAATCAGCAGACGGCAGAACGTGTTTCTGGCTAGAGGGGCGGGGCCGGCTCGCCGAAGGGGAGGAGCCAAGAGGGAGAAACTTACACACAGAGAAGTGGTACCCAAGCCGGGAGGGGCTAGGTTTGAGCGCCGCAGTTCACCCTCTGGATGAACCGCTCGCCGCCGCTTTCTTTGGCGATGCTGGGAAAAGATTTGGGGGAGATTGCATTTTCCCCATCATTTAATGAGACACCTCTCCTTCCGCTTCTCTATCTTTTCTCTTCTTCGCTCCCTTTTTCCTGGCTCTGTTGCTTCTCCACTTGAGGTGGGGGAAAACATCGGCGGGAGGGATGGGGGACGAGAGAGAGAGAGAGAGAGAGAGAGAGAGAGAGAGAGAGAGAGAGAGAGAGAGAGAGAGAGAGAGAGAGAGAGAGAGAGAGAGAGAGAGAGAGAGAGAGTCATTGATCTAGCTCGGGGGCTTCTGGGGTTTTTTGGGGTTTTTTTTTTTAGCTTGGATCTTCTTTATGGAGAGCTAGGGTTGGAAAGGGCTGTGATCTCTGAAAGCTTGGTTCTGCTGTTAGCCCCCCAACCCCCCTCCCATTACTTCCATTCCCCCCCACCCCAGCCAGGGCGAATGCGGAGATGCCAGTAACTAAAGCTCCACTCCTTGCTCCGTTCTCCCACTTGTTCGTCACCTAATGAAATACAAGTCGGGGGGCGTGGGGGAGCAGCTGCGCTCTTCGGGCTGCCATATGTGTATATGTGTGTCTGTGTATGAGTGTGGGGGGGTGTCTATATCCCCTTGCAATCTAGCTTCCTATAAATAAGCCGTGTTCCAACAAGTCGATGGAGCATAGGCCGGGGAAGACAAATCCAGTCTAGACCCTCGATCCCTCAGCAGAAGCATTGCTCTGCCTGTGTGCCCATCGCTTGGTCCTTGCCAGGGAAGTCCGGGCTCGGTCGGCGTGGGTAGCAGGCTCAGGGGCCCACTCCCCGCTGGGCGCGGAAGGACAGAGCTGGAATGGAGACCTAATGACATCAGTGCGCCCCAGTGAATGTGCCCCAATAAATGAAGGCGGCGGCGGCGGCCCGGCTCGGGGTGGGGGACCTCTTCATCATTGCTTAGGGACCTTAATTAAGGTCACTAGCTGTAGGAATAAAAAAAAACACTGGGGGGAAGAAGTTGTTTGTCCAACAGCAAGAGCAGGGTCTGGACGGGGCGGGGGGCGGGGGGACTTCTTCATCCTACCGAGACGCGGCTCTGAGCCTTGAACGCTGGCCCCCCAGAGCAAAGAGGAGGCTCGGTGGAACGTTCAGACAGCTAGGTGAGCAAACTCGTAATTAGCCCAGGCAAAAATCAGCCCAAGGTTTCGGCTCTGTAAGAAGGCTCACTTTCACCCTCAAAGGGACAATCCGAAAGCAAATTGGACACATCACCGGTTTTCTTAAAAACCTGCCATCTCCTAGCAGCCTGCCTCCCTCTGCTGCCTCCTCTCCTTTCCTCCCCTCCAGTGGCCCTGGTTCATCAGCCTCTCACAGTGGGGCGGGGAGGGAGAGGAAAGGACAAACGAAGCTCACTTCTCAGGAGATCTCTTCACCTCAGGGCGGAGACCCCCCCTCCCCCACAGCAGAGCACACGGTCGGCGTCGAACAGTCTGTCGTGGAGGGGTGCAGGGTCGAGGAGAAGCGAGGGGCTCTGGTGGGCACAACCTAGGGCAGGAAGTAGCTAACGCAGGAGCCACCAAGTGAAGGCGCCGGCGGGGAGCTCCCCCCTTGGATGGGTGGGTAGGGGCGCAGATTTCGGGCTGACAGCATCCTGGAAGTGGCCCAGGAAGCCTGGGAGCGGCAGGGCCCAAGGACCAGCAGAGCCATAGCGGGGGGAGCAGGGGCCCAGGGAAACCAACAGGACTGGAGGCCGGGAGGGGTGGGGACCAGCAAAGTGGGGAAGGAAAATAGCTCAATAACCAGCAGGGCCGAGGCTGGGGGATGGGAGTGAAGGGACAGCAGCGATTCTGGGCTCTGCAAAGCCGAGAGAGCTCTTTTTTTCCCTGGAGCGGAGTTACTTACCTTTGCTGAGAGTGGTTGGGAAGAAAGGGCATTTAGCAGTAATTAAAAAGGCCTCACCTCCGCCCCGCCCACCACCACCAAAACCTTTTCGGGGGGTCTAAGGGTGTGATCCCCTGACCCTGTTATTTCTGCGTTTAGCATCTCCCTAAAACTGGTCTGGGGCTCGCTCTCTCCGAACAGGACCGTTCGCAGCCTGCTAAAATGTTTGCATGCTCTGCATAGAGGCTTTTAGCCGTAAACTTTAAGGCGAGCTGTTCCCCTTTGAGTTAAAAAAAAGGATGATGCTGCTTCCTTGTGGCAAAGCCTGTCAGGAACCCGCTGATCGATAAAAGTAAACTGGCGCCTCCAGGATTTGATTGAGCTGGAGAAAATAGTCTGAATAGGAGTCCTGCCCATTAACAATCCCCCAGGTCAAGAAGCAATGGGAGAATTACTCAGGTAAAAAATGATTAACATTGCAGCTGGCCTTTAAAGAGATGCACACCCCCAGAGGAGGAGGAAGCCGCCCCTCTGCCCTCAGGGAGAGCTCAGAGAAGGGCTAGATTCGACCGTCTTCTCAAGACAACGTGGAGAATTCCATTCAAGTTCAATGTCCTTGCTATAGCACGCTGGCTGCAGAGACCCGCGGCGCCTCGGTTAAAGACCTGTGCCCTTCTCTACCCGCCCCTGCAGGGACGGAAAAGGGCTGTCGCCCAGTGCGCCCCTTCCCGAGAGTTCGATCATCAGCAGGGAGAGCCACTTGGCAAACCTGGGCCTAGGGACCCTCGGTCCCCAAAGAGGAGGCAGCGTGGATGGGGCGGGAGACTCAGTGATTTCATTTAGCTTCTCTGACACTCGCCGTGCCCCTCTACCCCCAGTCACTAAGCGGGTCTTAAGTAACAGCTGCCGAAGCAGCCGCCCCTCTCCCCTACCAAGTCCTTCCCGCTGAACCAAGGAACTCTGTCTGGATGTTGGCCATCTCTTCCCCCAGACTGGGGCGAGCGCGTTGACTGTCTTAGTAACCCAAAGCCCCTTCCTGATATTTTTTGCGTTTCTTCTCGGACCCAACACCGCCACTGGGCGTTTAAGGGACGCTGGCCCAAAGAAAGTTGTCTCATTTTCTGCTGTAGGTTTTGCTCGCTTGGGTCCGGGAGGAGGCGGGGGGCTCGGTGCTTCTTTCGAATCACAAGAGGGCCATCTAGCGACCTTACTGGGTATTAATTTTTGTTGGGTTTTTGGGATTTTGTTTTTTCCTCCAGCAGCAGCAGGAGACACAGGGCTCTCTGTCCACACTGCAGTGCTGAGAGCCCGGAGGAGGCCTCTGGGCGACGGCAGGTCTCTCCAGCCACTTGAGGCTGGGAGTGAAAATTAGAAAAGAGACTTTGGACTTGGAGATGTCAGCCATGCCACGAAAATAGTGCCGAATGCTAAAAAGGGCTTCATTGCAAGGGACTGAGCTCTCACTGCAATGAGTGGGAAGGGCCTGTTCAGTGTCCATAACTGCTTAGAAAACAGAAAGACCGAGAGATGACTCCACGGAGGATGGGGAGCACTAGCTCTGTGGAAGCACTTTTGGGGGAACCTTTTAAAACTCCTTGCCTTGGACCCCGACCTGGGTGGCCATCCACAATTGCTCTGCTCTCCACATTGCTGTAGCAGGCCCATGTCTGGGACTAACTGGGTTTTGCTGCATTTTGGAGGCCTCGCCCATACCCACCATGGATAAGCTAGAAGGGGAGGGGCGGGGGAGGGTTGGAAAGAAAGGGCAACTGTGAGGCAAGCCAGAATAGCCCTGAATTCCAATGCTGTACCTGTGGCTTGGGCAAATTGATTTGTGACTCAAAGCCTCCCTGTCCTCTTGGGTAAAATGGAGACAATGAGTCGTTCACTTGCTCTCTATCTCACCAGGGCAGCTTAAGGGCTGGGATTACTCTTCATGTCTGTCTTTGTATCCTGAGCACCTGGTGCCCAGGACAGAGGAGTAATTGAATAAAATACTTGTTGAATTGAATTTCACTGCCATCAGGTAAGGGCTTCTGTGGTGATGATCTGCATCAAGGCCAGTTATTGGAGAGCTTTGCACATTTCCAGCTAGACTGTCAGCTCCTTGGGGACAGCACTGTGTGCCTCTCGGTGCCTGCCACGAATCCAGGCACCCAGTAGCTGCTTCCTAAACGTCTAGGAGTGAATGAGAGTGAATGAATGAATGAATGAGATGGCAAGCAATTGCAGATTTTTTTTTCCTGGGCCCTGATTTCTTTCCAGGATCAGTGATACAAGAAAAGAGAATAAGAATTCAACAAACATTTACTGTATGTAGAATTTTGTGCTATAGGGTCTGGGGGGCACACTTTGCTCTTGAAGATTACTTGTCCCTTCTTCAAAGCACATCCTCACTTGAACCCAGTATTTCTGGATGTCAGGGAAATTTTTCTAATCCTCATTTATAGATGAGAAAATCAAGGTAAGAGAGGCTAATCAGCTTCCCAAGAGCGACCTTATCACCCCAAACCACTTCCCTTGTGATTTGGAGAGGCATTTAGGAAGAGCTAAGTTTGGCTCAGCATAATGCCCAAGGTACTAGTGGACATACATTTCACCACTAGGGGGCATTGCTGACTAAATGCCTAACGAAGCCTATTTCTGTGCTCACCCTCCTAGTGACACTCTCCACACAACACCAGAGGGCTCAGAGATGGTGATGCCACACTCTCCATGGCTCTAGTTCTGCACCTTTTGTGGGTGGCAGTATGTATGTGTGGATTTCTCCAACTAAAGCAGTGGGAAAACTCAGCCTCTCCCCCTTCTCTGCTGTGTTTCAGTGGCTTAACTGGATGGAGCTTTGGGGTTTGG